ATTCTAATAAATCTCTAATCTAATTAAATTTCGATTGAAGAAATTCAATATAAATTTATAATTCAGAAATATCATTATATCTTCGTAGGAGTATCTCACCTACAATCGATTGAGAATTCCAATCAGATTAGCAAAGACCAATGATATCTCGAGCTCTAAGCGAAGCAAACGAAAAAAGACACACGAAAATAATACTTGATATGGATAGACCGCAGGCAACCAATATCCATATTGCTACTCTATCTACGGATAAGAACAATATATTAGAGCCTTATTATAAGTGCAATATAAGGGCAAGTATATTCATCAGGCCTGTGTATCCGAGAACAACCCTCCCCACCCCCACCCCCCATCCCCACCCCCACCCCCCCACCACCTCAGGCCCCTTTCAGGCCCCCCCCCCAACCCGCCCTCCCCTAAACCTCAAAACCAAACCAAACCAAGAACCCAAACCAAAAACCTAAACCACCGAATGCTCCGGACCTGTAATCTTCCGACAGTCCGTAGTGTTGTTGAAAATTCCAAAGCCCTTACCAGTATCCTCAGTCGTCGGGTCGTTGCTGTACTACGGGTATCAAACCTCGGAAACTCATCGCTACTGTTGATATACGAGGAGATATCTACAAAGAGACCAAGACTCCAAGATAGTTTTCTTTCCGTATCTCGAAATTGCAGAGATTCGTAAAACTACCCAAATTGGGCATCACTCAAACTCTTTGAAGTTTTCATGGGTAGTAGACAAGGCAATTGTGCTTTGCACAAAGCTTCGATGCAGCTGCTTGGGACAGCAGCGCCTGACAGGCCACGACCGGGCCGCATACGCAGGGAGCTCCGGACTTGCATTGTACAAAAAATCATCTTATTCATGCCTGGACTTGAACTCCATCTGCGTGTGGGAGCAGCACAACCAATGAAGGACCTTGCAATGCTTTCCCAGCTTACACCCTGTTCCCGAGATGAAGCACTGGACGAGCTCCCACGTAACAACGAGACGCCACCAGGATCCGATTCTAAAGGCCAGTGTTCCATGTCACACATTAGCTTGAGGCGGGCAAGTATCGAGCCAACCCGACTGAAAGGATTCTCGTCAACCGGGCACGAACAGGATTACTGCATCATGGGCTTCTGCAACCTGTCGCGGTCCGCACGTAGAGTTGCCCTCACCGTCTTTGTGCGTTGCAGAATGATTCCCGCTTTTGAGTATCTTGTACATTTTGCCGAGCTTGTTCTTTACCTATTGCTCTGGTGATTGGGAGTTGACTGTAAGTGCAGCCAGCTCAATGGCATTGTGGCGAGAGGCGCAAGCCCGCAACTTCAAGGCCTTCCTGTGCTCGCTGAGGCGACCACAACCCTTTCCATTGCCTCCCACAGCACCACCACCGCCAGCTCGTCTGCGTGCCTGCGAAGTACAAAGCCACTCGTGCATCAGTTGCTACACACCCAGGACGAGATGCTGTGATATGAACCTCAGAACAAGTGCACCCGCTGGAGCATCTGCAATAGTGGTCGGCGCATAGCTGATTGAGTTCTTTCAATCGATTCTTGACGGCCAGCGATTGCAATGCCCTGTTGTCATTGCTCCTTTGCAGGCACGCTCACTTCGTCAGCGCGGACAGGAGACTTTGGCACATCCTCCAGCCGAAGCATCTTCACTATCTCTTTGACACTGACCCATCAATACACTTGCATCCGATGCTACGTTCAAGCTTTCTAAAGTCTTAGCTCAAGGGATGTCAAGAGGACCGGTCCGCTGACGCACGAAGATATTGAAGTGTCCTGGCCATTGTCACGCGATGCGGCAAATGGCAAATCATAATCAGAAGTCCGGCCAATACATCATCGCAAGGACGCAGCCGACTCTGATTCGCAAAACTTCAAGGCAGGAGTGCCCGATCAGGAGCACCAGCGTGCCCAGCCAGAAACCGGCAGGTGGAAACGGCCTCAGCAGCAAGGCACCTCTCGACATCGGAACGAGTCCGCGAGATCCTCCACTAAATCTAAAAGGAAAAACATCGGACACTGACTTCGGAGTTGTTTCGTCTGTTCATTCAAAGTCCCGGTGTGTCAATGCAGCACATTCAGCTGTGGGAGCCGCAAGAAAACTTGAAGGGAATGCAAGTTAAATACAAACTTGCTATGCCCGTCATTCATTGGATTCAAGATTGGCCACTCGCCAGTGCTTTACAGGTTTACGGACTGCTGGATTATGATTCGGCTTCTCTTCAGATCTATGATCTTCTACCCAGCATTGCTTTTGGGGTTGACAGCGCGATTCGGCATTCAGCATTATCTGTTGCAATTCAAGACTTGGTCATCATTCATGATGGGTTTTGGCCTTGTGAGTCTGCACAGTTTTTGGAGTTTACGGATTCGTGCACCTCATTCCGCGCCGAATGTTTTGCTCATCGCTCATGTGGGTGTCAGGGTTTGCCACTGACACTACCAACTGTTTTTGTGGTTTCTGGCTTGTTCGGTCTCTCCATTTCGGGGTTCATGTTTTACTGTCGAACTAAAGTTTGGGTCCAGGTGTCCAGTCCTCAATCATGTTGAGGCGTCGTATAGGCCATTGCTTTACGCTTGTTCAGTCTCGGGTTCTACAGCTCCAACGCATAAATCCGGCTTATGGTTTGCTTCCTGGCATGCCTGTTAGGTTCCTTAGGTTCCAGCGTCCGGACATGGCTTTTGCCACAGCTTGCTTCTGTCGGGGGTTTATAACTTCTTATTGTTTTCACATCTTTCCGGGTTTCATTTCTGTTGAGCCATACATAGAGCATGACCTGGCATCTCGTTTTGGATGTACAGCATTGTAAACATCGCTCCCTTTCCAGCTTTTAACTGTGAGTGATTTACTACCACCCAACTCTCTTAGGTTCTAGATGTTGTGGGTATCAGACACTTTGCGTTTTAAGATATGCCACTCCGCCTGGTTGTTCGGTTCCTGTACTGCTTCTTAATACGTTTTACATGTGGGTGGCGTGCTGTGCGCGCTTGCAGGGGTTCACACTTTCGATCGCACGAGCGTGCTAATCAGGTTCCAAATACTTTATTAGCGGCCCCGAACTTGACAAATCATCGCACTTCCGGTGTGGTCCACCACTTTACGGGTTCATCGCGGGTTCACAGCTTCTTGCATCGCAAGTTGTTCGGGTGTCCGTGCGTCCAGCATGTCGTTCAGCGATTGAAATCTGACCAAAAACATTTGGGGGTCTCGGGTGTGACTTGCTTCTTGCATCTAGCTCCTTCTCAGACCTATGGTTTCATCTCAGTTATGTTCCTACGGTTTAGAATTTGGCCCACCTTTTTCAGATATGGGTTTCCTACCCCCAAATGTTTCTCGAGTTTCCGGCTGCTTCACTTTTGCAACATTTCTTCGGAGTTTGCATCTGGGCTACATTCCGAGTTTGCAGCTTCTTAGATTTCACTGCTGCTCGGGTCAATGAAGCAATTCGTTTGGGTTCTCACAGCTTTTCGGCTACACGGCTTCTGTCTGTCCATCGGTAATGTACGCAGTTAGGGCTTGACACTCGTCCTGCTTTCGGACCTATACCTTCTCATGCCTCACTTCTTTTCGGGTGCGTCGGGTTGGTAGTTTCAGCACATGAATTCTTGCGGGAGAGTCTGGCCATTTCTCCTGCAGAAATCTGGCTGGCGTGTAATTTGGTTTGGGCTTTGACCTTTGCCCTTGTGAAGGTTTACTGCATTTTGTTCCTTTCCGAGTGCCTGTGCTTTGGGCCTTGGCTCTGTGCACCACTGTTTCGGCGTTGAACGTCTGGCTCTCACCCATTTTGAAGCTTCCCAGCACGTACAGCTAGGTTCTTGCACAGCTTTTTTAAGGTTTAAGTTCTGCCAGGTTGAGGATTTGTGTTTTTTTTCAAATTTCACTCTTTTTGGGCATATTCTCCGCTACCCGTCATCGCTTTCAGGGTCCCGACTACTGCCATTTTGCTACCTTTCACATCTTTTCGGCGTAGGTTCTGCTAGGCATGTCTACGAAGGTTTACTTCTTTTCGTCCACACATTTCGGTTTGGTCTTGCTTACTCCCAGCCAGCTACCCACACTCGGAGTTGCTGCCCCCCGCTGCTTTTCGTGTGCGGTCTGTTCCAGTTCACTGCTTCGAAAAATTCATGGTTCACGAACTGAACAACCATTTTCATAACGGTTGAACTACTCCGCACTGCTTTTCCGCTTTCCGGCTTCTGCACTGTTCAATCTTTATTTGGAGTTTAGTCTGCCGCTCCTGTTGGTAATCGATGCCTGCCATCTCATCACTGCTGCTCTCTCTGGCTGTTACACTCAGCGGTTCTGCAAAATCCGTCACCACTTAAGGTCTGTTCGCGGCTCGTTTCTTTCCTCGTTCACGGCTTCCTATACAGTTCACTCCTTCCCGTAGCTGCGCGCAGGGCAGACTGAAGACATTCAACAAAAACAGACACTCATTTTGGGGTTTTTGAGGCATGCCACTACCACTGTGCTACCCAGGATCGCTTTCAGGACACGGCTGGTTAAACTCCTGAACATCACATGCCGTGCAGTGTACGTCTTGCACAGTGCATTCCTGTTCGGGTTTATTGCACCGTACTACTTTTCACATCTTTTTGGGTTCATGTTGTGCTAGGTGGCATCGATTGGGGGGAGCTGCGATCTGGGTTCATAGTTGGGTTTGTCCGTGACGTTCCGGAGCAGAGGACGCTGCCGGGCCGTAGCGGCTTGTAGAGGCCCTTTGTTTTCCGAAGGTGTTTTCGAGCAGGGCATGGTCTTCGTGAGCACGATCGTCGTGGCAGGCTGATGGGCTTCGCTGGCACGGCCGAGCCCTGTGGGTCGTCGTCTTCGGCACGCCTGTAGAGAAGGCGGCGGCATGACGGGAAGCTCATTTATGACTTCTCTCGGGTTTCACTTGCCACTTCTCACCTGTGACTTCTCGCAAAAACGAATTTGCCTTATGTTTCCGCAAGCACGCCGAAAATCAGGTTTGACAACTCCGGGTTTGGCATCGGGTTCAGGGTTTACGGATTACGACTTTTTCGGTCTCAAAGGAGGTTTAGGGCTTCGGGCTTGCGGTTTGGGGACCTACTGGATTTTAGGGTCTTGGTTTCGGTCGGACGTGCAGTTACGATTTAGGGTTTGGGCTTTAAGTCCTCGCCGGTTTAGGATTTTAGGTTACGGGTTAAGCTTTTGGATTTCGGGTTTAGCAGGGTTTTAGGGTTTAGGGAGTGTTTAGGTTTAGGTTGTAGTGTTGAAGCCACTTTTTAACATACGGTGAAAATTGAAATATTCCGGATGCCGGAATTGCCGGGCGCAAGAGGAGTTTAGAGTGCGCAGGAATTCCATGCCAATCCAAGCCAAACAAGTCGTATGAGGGCTGGTGGTACACTAACAAGGGTGACAACTAAGATATTCGGAGCAGCCAAGAATAGGAACGGGTATGCTAAAGCTCAACCTGAGAGGACCGTCCAGAGATTTGATCTTGCGACCTTCAGTCACGGGACTTGTTCCCCGTGCGAAGCAACTTGAAGGGGGTTGTTGATTAAACGCAAAACATTAAGGTTCAGGCAGGTAAGGCTTTTTTCCACACGGTTCCCTGGGCGTAGCAACCAGACCATCCCTCCGTGCAGGTAGCCGTGGACACCGCACTTCGACGCAAAGCTCATTGTAGAATGGCTATCGCTCTTCAGGCCCGGTTCACCAATCCATCATCTTCTGCATCGACTTGAGAGAATCCACAGGTAAGGGCTCCGGGCTCAGGGTTTATGGTGCAAGGTTTCCATGGTTTCCCTTCGAAGGCTTGGAGTTAATTAAGGGAGAAAGACGGTGCAGAGTGTTTAAAGGTTTAGGTTGCGCGCTTACGGTTTTACGTGGGTGAGCTTTAGGGTATGGGCTTTGCTTACCGGTTACGGTGACGGGTTTAGGGTACACAGCGGAAATAGAGATAAGGGTTTGAGGTTCTTGGCTTAGGGTGGAGGTTAGGCTGTACGCTTTCGGGTTCAGGTTTTTTTGTGAAATGCGATGCCGTTGTTGGTAGAAGCTTACGGTTCACGGTCTCGGGTCCGGGACTCTGGGCTCTTGGGCTTAGGGTTGGCTTAGGGTTTAGGGTCCGGGTGCAGGGATATAGGGGAGATAAACCTTAAGCTCAAGGTTTGGGGTCTATCGTTTGGGGTTTAGCGTTTGTTGTTTTGGTTCATTTTCGGCGCTCACTCTCGGACATGCCAGGCAGGTTCTTGGTGCTTGGTCGGGCGGAAGTGAAATTCAAATCCGGTTGGAGCCGTTTAAATGACCTCATATTTCGTTCAGGGTTTTCCGGTCCGGCCATAATGTGTGGAGCCCGGAGGTTGCCGCTTTCCACACTTCTCAGATGCCTAGCTTTGCACGCAGGCATGTCTTTGTGATCTTTTGGTTTGCCA